TAAAATGCTTATAACAATGTTTATAAAAGCTTAGTAAATATTAAGTAATATTTCTGCTATCACCATTAGCTTCAACCTCTTACTCTAACTCTACAAACCAGGCTGGGAGACACATTTTTTTTTCACCTTTCCTCTATGCTTACTGGTGGTTCATTCTCACTGCAGTAGAACAATGCAATGTCCAATATATAGATAACAGGAGAATTAGAAGGAGGTAACTTAATACAGAAAGTTCTAAATAATGTTTTCCCTTATGGGTAGTTTAGCCAGTCTTTTATACTTGCAGATTCACTTACCTTTTACAATTCTCATTCCAAACATTAACTGAAGATAGGTCACAGTAGAAATTAGCCTGTTTACTTTGTGGGTATACTAAGATGGAGGTGTCAAATTGAAAAAACTGTTAGATGTCAGAGGGCATGTTTAAAAGCAGGTAATTAGGAAAGAAGTGACATTTGAAAAGAAAAAGGGCATTTGCAAAAGGATTCCTTTGGGAACATAACACCGTCAAAATAGGAGATTTATTAAGGCGCCTGTAATCCATGCACTCAGAATTGCAAGGGTTGCTGCTTGCCCAAGATCATGTTTTCCCATGGGAGGATGTATTTTTCCCATTCCACGGTTTCTAGTGAAAACATGTTTTAACACCAACTCTGAGGGTTCCGTTTAGTGTGATTTGCAGATAAATACTTCTGTGGTTTTCTTATGGGAGGGATTCAGCCAAGTCATACCTTTCTAATCTGCGGAGACCGAGCGAACATAACAAACCTATGTTAAACCACAAAGATGATCAGTTGTTTTAGGAATGTGCAGCAATTTAATACCTGCAACTCAGAATATATTTGAGGACTTCTGGTGTGTACCCAGTACATCTAAAGATGGGTTAAGAAGATAAGAGGTCACCGAGTCTCAGGGGAAGGCTGATACCTACTTCTGGGAGGTTTTTACCTTTGCAGTGTCTGGAAGCAGAGGTAGTCTTTTTGTTAGAGCTTGAGGTTTGAAGTCATGAGCACTGACTTAGTTTCTTAAATTTCAAATTGAGGAGCATTTGGCTGTTTTATATATAATTATTAGACTTTTAAAAACACTAGAAAGCAGTGGAAGGCAGTGGTAGAGAGGGGGTCAAAATGTGGATTCAGATCCAAGATGATGAGAACAACGTGGGCGAAACATATGATAGTTCTGAATACCTTTCTTCACAGTGTGTGCTCTGCAGTTGCTACAGCGTTTATCATCTGTTCTCTGTCAGATTTAACCATGTTTGTGCTCTGCTTTTTACCTCCAAAAATGTGGCCCCCTCCAGTGTCATCTCTACTAAACAGGAATGCTGATAATTAAACTGTTTTTGCAAACACGCTAAGCTCACTAATGCCCAGAATTAGATGAAGTGAATAGACTGAGCATTGGTAATCTCAGTTTTTTAAGTTCAGTTTTTTCGTTGGATCCAAGTTGGGAAGCTCAAGAAGAAAAGTAGCTTTTGTCAAAAGGAAATCACAAAGTAGGGAATAATAACTGAGTTAAGGCCAGAGTGACCCGTACACCAGCATGACAGTCCCAAAATGAGAAACGTGACTCTCCAAAGTGGGCTCCATTTTGTTCTTTCCCCCATCCTCTCTCTTGCAAAGCGAGCCTAGATTTCACAGAATCTCAGACCTAGGGATGTAGCATGTATTTATGTGGGTGAGAGAGAGGGGGCGTTCATACACTCCTTCCTTCTCCCCTTTCCATGCAGCAACACCCCCCAAATCCAGAGGTGAATATGACCCCCACTCATGTAGCACTTAGTTTCCTTTCCAAGCCTTTGGGCTGTTGGAAGAGCTGTAATTCTGAGTACATTAAGAACAGGTAATGTATGCTGTTTTACAATATAGCCTCTGCTGTCAAAGCCTTGGTCTGTCTGGAAAGCTTGCTTTGAAGCCGGCCTCCCCTGCCTACCTTTCCACATTCTTCCTGGTGTATTTTTTCTCCCCTCGTCCAGCCTCTCAGAGCACACTGTGTTGAGCTCTTTTTATAGCACCCACCACAATCTGCTCCTGAATCCATTTAATGGTGTCTCTTTCTTCCTTATTTCAAGCTCCTGGAGATGGAACCTTGCCTTTTCTGTTTTTTTCTTGAGTGTTCTACAGTGCCTAGCAGTAGGCCTGTGGCTGGTCTGTTTGAGGTCCAGCCTGGGTTTAGTAAATGCTGTATTTCATTCCAAAAGATCACACAGCCTCCTCTTTAGAGATGTGAATGTGTCATAATCCCTAACTCATTAGGTTTATGTATTTGGCTCTGCCTGCCCCTAATAAACAGTGGACAATTGCTTTTTATTATCCGTTTTATTTGCACGTAAGTTCTCAGGAAATAACCCATAAGAGCTATTTAATAATGATGTGTGTTTCTTAAACTAAATTTAAAGTTTTGTAGGTTATTCTTTGTGGGAGAGTAAGAAAATGCTACAGTAAGTGGAAAAAAGGGAAAGATGGATCTACTAAAGACATTTTTATCACTCTCACATATTTATTTGATGGTATATAAAAGTAGATAATCTTTTATTAGGAACAAGTTTGTTTCTTCTACAGGCATTGATAAAGTGGTGATTAAACTTTTAATATGCATTGACATTCATTAGATTTATTTCATAACACTTTCTGGATCAGCTGTTAATTTTTTTCTGACATTAGGACTTCAGGTATACACCACAACTATACATTTTTTAGACTGGTGATTTGATTATCATTGCTCAAGTGATCAATTATGCTTTCAAAAATGTTTCTTCAAAGTAGTAACAAATTATATGATTGGGCCTTTTCTTGAAGCTTGAATTAAAACTTGTGTTTTTAACAGTCAGAGACTTGTGAAGTAAATTGGATATCTACACACTTAAATGCAATGTACAGATGAGTATTTTTAATATTTGGAGCTCAAACCGTTCTCATGAGCATTAGTTTGTTCACTAAGCAAATAATTGGGAGCTTGCTCTACCTCACTGTCTCTCTGGGTGTGTGTGTGTGTGTGTGAGAGAGAGAGAGAGAGAGAAAGAGAGAGATCCTTACTTCCTTGAGGTGTTTTCAGGGCAGGTATGCAGGCCTAAGGTTTTATGCTGCCAAATCTAGCGTAGTACCCGACTGATGGTTAGGAAAGGATTACTGTGTAGATTAATAAATGCTTTATATGTACAGAGACATATAAAGCAGTATGCTCCCAGGAAGGCCTGGTAGCATAGATGGAGAGCCAAAGGGATTTAATTACAGTGTATCTCATTGATATAACAAAGCCCTAACAGGGAGGTTGCCCAGAGCGGGGAGGCATAACTGAGCTAAGGGTGGATCTCAGGAAAAATGTTGTAAATGATGTGTTCATGATTAGATATGAGTGGGAGCATCTTAAGTACACATAGGGAGGGAATGGCATTCACAGCCAGCAAGTAACAGGCTACTTTGATGTGAAAGATCTTTGTCGTGGAACTGTGGATTTTTTTCTCCCTGTAATACAAAATGTGAGGGCATAGTGGCAAGAGACAAGGATGAAAAAGACATGTCAGATCACAAATGGCTTGGAATACCATGCAAAGAATGCATAGTATGGAGGAGACCAATGGTAACAAATGCATAAAACTCATGATCTTCACCCCATTTCTCCTGCGGTATTCTTCGGTGTTCTCTCAAATCTAGTGACTCATGCCAGAAATCTAGGTATTTTCCTTATCTGTTCTTTTTCTGTTGCGTCCCACATCTGATCACTTACCAATTATTTTATCTACTTTTAAATTTCTCTCTAATGTATTCCTTTCTCTCTGTCCTCAGTGTCCTGATTGTTATACTCTATTGGTATAACAGCCTCCTGTGTGGCTCCCCTGCCATCCACCCTTTCCTCCCCAGTCCATTCTCACAGTCTAGCCAGAGAGAAATTTCTAAAGGCAAATCTTGACCCTGCTAGCTTTGCTCAAGATGATGTTGGCTTTGCAGTCACCCTTAGATGAAGTTCAGTGCCTGGCCCTGAGCTTCAGCACCTCCTTGCCCAGCCTCCAGTGCCGTTTTCACCATTCCCCACCCAAGCATGCCCCTCCTGTCTTGCTGGGCTCTGTTCTTCACCTGTGCTGGGCTCCTCTCAGCTCCCACCTTGGAACCCCCTTTCCTCCCTCTGCTTTACCCCACAGCACTGTGCTTTGGATTGTTGCTTCTAGGAAGTATTTACTTTCTTTTCAAATGTGGATTTAGAGCCCTTGCTGTGTGGACCTGCAGTGCCCAGTATTTGCCCAATTGTGACATTTATGAAGCAGCTTTTTAATCACTTGCTTGTCTTTTTCCTCTAATGGACTGTGAGTTCGGTAGTGACAGAAACCAAGAGTAAACTGTTTACCACTTGATTCCCAGCACCTGGCATAATGCTTGAAATGTAGTAGGTATTTATTATTAGATCCACAGATATGTGATGTACTTATTCCAGTGTCCAGCACATAATAGATACTCAGTAAATGATGGCAGTTTTTTTGTTTACCATCATATACAACAGCTGTAATTATTATTCTAATCAATTTTTATTAACAAACTCCCTAAGAAGAAGTACAGGCAAAAGCTGGTTTATAGTGATGCGAAGAGCAGCTTCAAGGAGAGGAAGTAGAAATCAACCACAGATGAATTTGTTAAAATGGTTGACTGAAAAAATACCTTCATTGAAAGGGTGGTAGTCAGAGATCAGGGAAGTTAAAGGAAGGTATTTTTCAACGATGAGGGAATGCTGGGCATGTACATGGGTTAAAAAAGAGAGTCCAACCTGAAGATACAGTTGTGGAATTGGACCAGTCCTCCAAGTAGGAGGATTGGTCTTGCATCTAAAAATAGAAGGCATCTTGTATAATAAGGAGAAAATAGAAGGGGTGGGGTTGCTGCAATATGTGCAGGGGTCTGGGGAAGAAAATAAAAGCATCACTGAGGGTAACACAAGCATGTTTAATTATGTTGCATGAAAGATATCTTTTAAGCAAAGCAATTACCCTCTTTCTTTTTCTCTTTCAGCTGTTCGGAGGTCTTGTCTGGATTTTGGTTGCCTCCTCCAATGTTCCTCTACCTCTGCTGCAAGGATGGGTCATGTTTGTGTCCGTGACGGCATTTTTCTTTTCGCTTCTCTTTCTGGGCATGTTCCTCTCTGGCATGGTGACCCAAATTGATGCCAACTGGAACTTTCTGGTAAGAGCTTTTTAAGTCTGTTGCAAGAAGATGGAGAAACCTACATCCCATTCTGTTCTGAAAAGCCAGAATCCTAGTTTTGTCTGTTGCCTCTAACGTCCTTGATGGATAGCAGGGCCCCAGTTTGTGAAATATCTGTGTTGATAGAGCTGAGAAATAATTCTGTTACTCCTATAGCTTAGATAACTCTTAAAAACTGTTTCATTTCATACAGCAAATGAATGTCATTACAATTTTTTAAAATTTATTATACTTTATGAGGTACATGTGCAGAAAATGCAGGCTTGTTACAAAGATACACACGTGCCATGGTAGTTTGCTGCATCCATCACCCTGTCACCTGCATTAGGTATTTCTCCTACTGCTATTCCTCCCCAATACCCCCACACCCTTCTATCCTTCCCCAATTCCCCTACCCATCTCCCTTACCCACCGACAGACCCCGGTGTGTGATGGTCCTCTCCCTGTATATGTGCCACATTTTCTTTATCCAGCCTAACTCTGATGGGCATTTGGGTTGGTCCCAACTCTTTGCTATTGTGAACAGTGCTGCAATAAACAGGTGTGGGCATGTGTCTTTATAATAGAATGATTTATATCTTTTGGGTATATACCCAGTAATGGGATTGCTAGATCAAATGGTATTTCCAGTTCTAGATCTCTGAGGAATCACCACACTGTCTTCCACAATGGTTGAACTAATTTACACTCCCACCAATAGTGTGGAAGTGTTCCTATTTCTCCATATCCTCTCCAGCATCTGTTGTCTTCGGATTTTTTAATGATCGCCATTCTAACTGGCATGAAATGGTACCTCAATGTGATTTTGATTTGCATGTCTCTAATGACTAGTCATGATGATCTTTTTTTTATGTTTGTTGGCTGCCTAAATGTCTTCTTTTGAAAAGTGTCTGTTCATATTCTTCACCCACTTTTTGATGGGATTGTTTTTCTCTTCTAAATCTGTTTAAGGTTCTTTGTAGATTCTGGATATTAGCCCTTTGTCAGATGGGTGGATTGCAAAATTTTTCCCCATTCTGTTGGTTGCCAGTTCACTCTAATGATAGTTGCTTTTGCTGTGCAGAAGTGCTTTAGTTTAATTATATCCCATTTGTCTATTTAGGTTTTTGTTGCCATTGCTTTTGGTGTTTTAGTCATGAAGTCCTTGCCCATGCCTACACCCTGAATGGTATTGCAGAGGTTTTCTTCTAGGGTTTTTATGGTGTTAGGTATTATGTTTAAATCTTTAATCTGTCTTGAGTTAATTTTTGTATAAGGTGTAAGGAAGGGGTCCAGTTTTCTACATATGGCTAGCCAGTTTTCCCAACACCATTTATTAAATAGGGAATCCTTTTCCCATTGTTTGTTTTTGTCAGGTTTGTCAAAGATCGGATGGTTATAGATGTGTGGCATTATTTCTGAGGCATCTGTTCTGTTCCATTGTTTTGGTACCAGTACCATGCTGTTTTGAATACTGTAGCCTGGTAGTATAGTTTGAAGTCAGGTAGCTGATGCCTTCAGCTTTTTTGTTTGTTTTTGGCTTAGAATTTTCTTGGCTATGTGGGCTCTTTTTTGGTTCCATATGAAATGTAAGGTCGTTTTTTTTTTTTTTTTTTTCCCAAATTCTGTGAAGAAAGCCAATGTTAGCTTGATGGGGATTGTTATTTAGTCATTTTTTTTAATTGCATGGCTTGCTTTTAATAGTTTGGTAACATATTTTATACACTCTCTTCCAGGAAAACTTTTTAGCCATGTATATAATGGAATTGTTACAAGTTGGTAACAATTTTTAATTGTTGCATTCTGGAACTGTTGGCTCAAAAATAATTGTTTCCGGCCAGGCGCGGTGGCTCATGCCTGCAATCCCAACACTTTGGGAGGCCAAGATGGGTGGATCACGAGGTCAAAAGATCGAGACCATCCTGGTCAACATGGTGAAAACCCGTCTCTACTAAAAATACAAAAATTAGCTGGGCATGGTGGTGCACATCTATAGTCCCAGCTACTCGGGAGGCTGAGGCAGGAGAATTGCTTGAACCCAGGAGACGGAGGTTGCAGTGAGCTGAGATCGCGCCATTGCTCTCCAGCCTGGGTAACAAGAGCAAAACTCTGTCTCATAAATAAATAAATAATTGTTTCCACCTGTGATAATAGTTTATTACCACTTTACGCCATGCTTGAAGGAAGCAAGAATGAATTTTGATAAAGAACTTATTTTTTAGATGTATTTGTTGTAGGATATTGAGTTGACTATTTCTTCTAGTTTTTAAGAAATTAAATTTACATTCATGATAGATAGCTTCAGTAGTTTTTCCTGAGCTTTCTAGCTTTGATATAGTGAAATAAAAATATAATATCTAATAACAGATATAAAGTGCTAAATACTTGCCTCATTGTATTCCAGGCGAATAATGAGATTTTGGTTTTGAAATAGTTTTTCTGTATTTGTGTGTGTGTGGAGAGGAAAAAATACCATTTTTGTTGAACTTTAAACAGAAGATTATAAATTTATGGTCTGCTTTGTACAGGAAAGGTACTAAGGAAAGATACATTTTAGAAAAAACTTAGAGCTATTTAAAAGTCCTATGCAGCTCAACATGTTTCCCTTTATTCCCCCATAGTATAACTGGCACACATTTGATCATTTGCCTGTTATGGACATCACTTAATATATTTTTAGTTTTTAACTTCTTTTATTTCAGTAGCTTGTAGAGTGTAAGTGATTTTTTATTACATGGATGAATTTCATAGTGGTGAAATCTGAGATGTTAGCGTACCAGTCCCCTGAGTAGTAGTATACATTGTACCCAATATGTAGTTTTTTTTTTTAATCCCTCCCTCCCCTCTCCTCACCCATTCTTGAGTCCCAAGTGTCATAGCTTAGCTCACACTTACAACTGAGACCATACAATATTTGGTTTTCAAATAATAAGTGAGTTACTTAGAATAACAGTCACCAGCTCCATCCACTGCCTAGTATCCTACATGTCCTCTATTCTTGTTCTCATTTGTAAAAATGAGAATACTAAGTTTCAAAGTGGGTGTCATCCTTTTTTTCTTGCTGTTAATGTAAACCAGCATCCCCCTATATACAATGCAGCTTTTTTTTTAAAACTAGTAGATGGAAGTTTGACCCTGAAGAGCAATGCATGGGCTTAAGACAAGAATGTAGGATATAGTCACTTGTGTAGAAAAAAAACAAAAACCAAGCTATGCTTGAGGCTGAGGTTGCCCAAGGAAAAAGGGAACACAAGTGGGCAGTGCTCTGGAGTGTGTGAGCATTGAGAAGGTTGGTGGAAGAGCAAGAGCACGTGAAGGTGACCAAGAAAGAGGCTGGGTTCATCTGTTAATAAGTGGAGGCCAGGGGCCTAGGGCAGAGGTTCACAAATGGTGGTCCTGGCCAGACGAGCAGCAGCATCTGGAGATATGTCAGGAATGGACACTCTCAGGTTCCACTCTGAGCTGCTGAGTCAGAAACTCTGGGAGTAGGACTCAGCTGTCTGTGTTTAAACAAGCTCTCCAGGTGGTTCTGATGCAGGCTAACATTTGAGAACCACTGGCTTAGCAGAAATGATCTGAGCGGTCAAATGTAATGAGTGAGCCTTGTGGAAGAACTTCTTACACAAATTAGAATGATACATTCAGGATGGCCAAATACAAATATGGGTACAGCTGTCCAGAAGTTGGGAATGTTTACTGAGTAGTAAGCGCTCTGCTAGGCCCTGGGAATACAATTGTGAAAAACAGGTCCTGTAGTCACTCTCGGAGTTTGTTGTAGACAACATAAGAAATTGTTACATAACTAATGCATTAATTAATGTCATGTTAGTAGCCAAAAAGCAAAAGCCTAGCATGCCAAAACAACATATGTGTCATCTCAGATCCACTGGGAAGCAGACTCTAAGAGGGATTTAGAAGTACAAGAGTTTTGGTTTGGGCTTTTTGTGCATTTTGTTGTTGTTACTGTTTATTTGAGGGAAAGGGGAGATAAGACTTGTAAAAGGAAGATAAGGAAGAAAACCCAGATTGATATACACCACAAATTCTTGACCACATCAATAGAAAACTTCAGAGCACAGCCGATCCTTCAAGAGTTTTGTGTTGGACACAAGTGGCCAAGCACTAGTATCTCCACTCTGCTGTCTGTCAGTAGTGGGATTGGGGGATATCCCAGAAGAATGTGGCCTTGGTTCACCCATTGTAGCAGATCCCAAATCCACTGAAGCTGGAGGCTGTCAGCTACCTGCACTCCTCACAGCTAAATATCAATTTCTTTCTTGATGGAAAATGTGTGCAGTGCACAATTAGATGCAACAGAGTTTTGATTTTTTTTTTTTTTTTTTTGAGATGGAGTTTCGCTCTTGCTTCCCAGTCTGGAGTGCGATGGCATGGCCTCGGCTCACAGCAACCTCTGTCATCCAGGTTCAAGTGATTCTCCTGCCACAGCCTCCAGAGTAGCTGGGGTTACAGGCATGCACCACCACGTCCAGCTAGTTTTTTATATTTTTAGTATAGACGGAGTTTCTCCAATGTTGGTCAGGCTGGTCTCAAACTCCTGACCTCAGGTGATCCGCCACCTTGGCCTCCCACAGTGCTGGGATTACAGGTGTGAGCCACTGTGCCCAGTTTTTTTTGTTTTTTTTTTTTTATATATACAGAGTCTTGCACTGTCGCCTGGGCTGGACTGGAGTGCAATGGTGTGATCTCAGCATACTACAACTTCCGCCTCCCCGGTTCACATGCTTCTCTTGCCTCAGCCTCCCAAGTAGCTGGAATTACAGTTGCACACCACCACACCTGGATAATTTTTTCTGTTTTCAGAAAAGACAGGGTTTCACTATGTTGGCCAGGCTGGTTTTGAACTCCTCTCATGATCCATTCACCTTGGTCTCCCAAAATGCTGGGAATATAGTCATCAGCCATAGCGCCCAGCCCAAAGTTTCTTTTTAATTTTTTATTTTTTTGAAACTGGAGTGCAGTGGTGCGACCTCGGCTCACTGCAACCTCTGTCTCCTGGGTTCAAGCAATTCTCCTGCCTCAGGCTTCCAAGTAGTTGGGACTATAGGCATGCTCCACCATGCCTGGATAGTTTTTGTATTTTTAGTAGAAATGGGGGTCCACCATGTTGGCCAGGATGGTCTCCATCTCTTGACCTCATGATCTGCCCACCTCAGCCTCCCAAAGCGCAGGTGTGAGCCACGGTGCCCAGCCTCAGTCTCTCCTTTCATAATGTAGATCCATTTCTCCATATGCATCTGGGGAGTTGCTCCTCCGGGGTTCCAGCGTACCTTTCTTCCTGAGGAAAGACTTAGAGAGGTTAGAGGGATACATGACAGCTCCTTTCACTACAGTTGTTCTCAAGGCCAACTGGTACTTATCTTCTTCATCTTCCACTGACTGTTTTACACTCTTCTCAGCTTTTCTGTCTGCTGGTCTCAGTGGTTTCCTGGAGGTGAATCCAAACTGTCATTCCTGAGAGACTAAGAGCCCCTGGCAACCACATCTGCTTCAGGCCAGCATTGCTACACTTGTTTTTAATCACAGTAGGCACATAGGGCTTCCAAGAAGCCCTCAAGTAGATCACCTGAGTTCTACATACAATTCCCCTCGCCCTGTGGTGGCACATACACTATGGCAACACATGCTCCTTACTGCCATCCTGACTTCCAGTAGCTCTGTTTTCTCCTGATGGTTAGGAGCAACTACCTTTGTCAAGATGGTAACTCCTTTTCCTGCCTTTTTGTCCCTGGACAGAAGAGTCCAAAGTGGCCAGGGAGTAGCCATAGCTTGTAGCTCAGTGGGACCATTGCTCTATCCTCTATGAAGAATACCCCTTTGGGGACAGGGAACCCAACCAGGAAAAGCCTAGAGTTGTAGGGACAGAAATCATAAAGAATTTCAGCAGGTTATTGGAAGTGATGACAAGTGGAGAAACTCTTGCTTTCACCCCTAAGTTTCCAATCTTCCAGTGGGGACACAATAACATGTAAGAAACTCTTCTTCAATATATTTACTGTGTCCTAAAGGATGGCTCCCATCCTCACAGACTAGTGCCCCAAGCTGTACCTTCATCCAGACATTCCTCTGTGCTATCAGGCCAGGCCAGTAGCTTCTAGGTGGTACAGTTTATGATCCAACCCACAGGTGGGCACCCGTTTCCACTTCTGCTTTGCTGAGAAGTGGTTTCCTTGGTCAGAGACTGGAATGCCTGTGAATTGGGCACTCTGTAAATCCTTGTATATAGCTGGTGGCTCAAGCTCTGAGAGACAGAAAAGCAAATTCATAAATCCGTACCCTAGGTAATCCTGTTTTTGTGAGAATAACCATTATGCATGTCTGTTTTTGAGAGTGAAGTATTTTGCCCTCCAAGAAGGTAGGAGCTCAGTTTTCATTCACTTACTAAAGGTGACTGGTTGGTGGTCCCCTTGAGAATAATACCTTATCAGGAGCTCAGAGTTGGTCTCTTTTGCTGGCAGGTTCAACATTCAGAGGAAGCAGTGGGTAGATCAGCTTTGGCAATGAGGAGTCCATGCTCTTGGGCCTTTCCATGGGCACTTTCTCTAACCTGTTTATGTGTGCTCTGTTTATGTGCCCACAATGCCAGGTATGAGGTGGTTGATGACAAAGGCTTGATAACATCAACTAGAAGGGTCCTTTTGTCTATACAGCATTCCAAAGTGATGCTTCTGGTAAACATTACCAAATGACAGAAAGATTGTCGAATTTCATGCCTAGTCCCTTCCTTGTCCCTCAAGTTGTGATCTGTTTTATCCTATGGCCCTGACAAGTGCGGTAGGCTATTTGCTATGGACCATGAGTCTACATAATCTCTCTGTGGGCTTTTTTTTTTTTTTTTTTTTTTTGAGACAGTCTTGCTCTGCCACCCAGGCTGGAGTGCGGTGGCAGGATCTCTGCTCACTGCAAACTCTACCTCCCGGCCTTATAAGATTCTCCTGCCTCAGCCTTCTGAGTAGCTGGGATTACAGGCATGCCCAGATAATTTTTGTATTTTCAATAGAGATGGGCTTTTGCCATGTTGCCTAGGCTGGTCTAGAACTCCTGATCTCAAGTTCTTCACCACTGCACCCAGCCATGGGCCACTTTTCTTTCTAAGCGAAGTGTGTGACGTGCGTCATCACTCAGCTCCACCCATTGGGAAAACATTCCCTAACCACTGTCTTTCGAAGCCAGCTCTAAATGTGGCTAGAAGTGTAAAGAGTAGCATTCTTGACCTATGAAATGCTTCCTAGAGACCAAAATGAGGCGAATGTGGCCAACATGAAAAAGGTGTGTCATGGTAAAGAAGTCAAGGGGTCAGATCACACCAAGAGTTGCCGGTCCTGTCACTTAATCTCTTTATTACAAGATCAGCTGTATCTGAAGATTCACCTCAGTAACTTAAATGAGTGTCTAGTGATCTCAAATTGTCTCTTAATTTTTCTTACTAAGATCCAGCTGCATTTCATTTAGCCATTAAAAGTGGTGACATTTGAATTTGGAGTTGAACCTTCATCAGCTAGTATTTGTTGAATAACCACATGTATTTAGCATATCTCCTATAGATTAGACATGTGGCCAGTATGTAACACTTTTCTTAAATCTTTTGAAGGCATTTGTGAATCAGTTTACATGAGAATTATTTAATAGAAAGTACACCTTTTTAGTTTTTAACCCATGGTTAGTTAAATTTGTCCTAGCAGAGTATTTCAGATGTGAGAACAATTCCTGTAAACAGTATCATTTGCTGTATGGGCATTTACAAAGGCAGTACAATTCTCTCCTTTGTAATATTGCTATAACACTAATAGAAATCAGTAATAGGTTTGATAGGAAAGAAAGTGGACTTCAAAGGGAACCCTTGCACACTGTTGGTAGGAATGTAACTTAGCACAGTCGTTATAGAGAACAGTGTGGAAGTTCCTCAAAAAGTTAAAAATAGAACTACCATATGATCTAGCAATCCCACGCCCGGGTATATATCCGAAGGAAATAAAATCAGTGAGATATCTACATTCTTATATTCATTACAGCATTATTCATAACAACCAAGATACAGATTCAAACCTGAGGGTCTATCAGCAGATAAATGGATAAAGAAAATCCAGTACATATTCACAATACTATTTCAGCCTTTAAAAAAGGAAATCCTGTCATTTGCAATATACATGAACATTATGTTATGTGAAGCCAGACACAGGAAGACCACGTGATCTTAAGCTGAATTTACAGTAGTAGACAGCAGAATGGTGATTTCCAAGGGATGGGCTGATGGGGGACTGGGGAAAACGTTGGTCAAAGGATACAAATTTCAGTTAGGAGAAATGAGTTCAAGAGATCTATTGTATAGCATGATGACTATGGTTAATAACAATGTATTCTATTCTTGAAAAATGCTAAAAGAATAGATTTTAAATGTTCTCACCACAAAAAGATAATTGTGGGAGGCAATATATGTATTAATTAGCTCCATTTAGCCATCCCACAATATATAAATATTTCAAAACATATACACAATAAATGATTTTTTTCGAGTAAAATAATTTTTAAAACATAAACTAGACTTAGGGACCAGACACACTACAGGTTTTTCTCCCTCCTAAAATTAATATTTACATGGCTTTAAACAGTCATTTAACTGAAAAGAAAAAAATTATTTGTAAAATGGAGATAATTAATGGTGGTTATAAGGATGAGTGACAATGCACGTAAGTTATCTGATATGTGTGAGCTATTACAAAGAGTGATGTGTTGATATATTAATTCAGGTAAGATCATATGAACTGTAACAGTGTTAATGCTTCACTTGAACGTCAGCAACATACAAAGAAGCCTAACAAATGAATTCTTATACTTTTTGTGGAAGTATATGACATATTAGTTTTTAATAAAACAAACATGGATATATGTTATTGAATTACATATTTAATCTGTATCTTTCAGTGGAAAATCTCTAATGATAAAAAACTGGTCAAAAATAATTATATGAATACATATAATAATCATAATAAAAATATGTTATTTAAATGCTATTTTACTTCAATTTTAAAGACAGCATATGTTATGGCTTTTTTATATCATCCTAATTAACATTGATCTCTATGGGCATCTTAATCCAAATTAAAATAATATATAATTATAAAATTCAGTATATGGAAAGGTTTACCAATTTACCAATATGCCAGTTAAAATGGGTTGATTTTCACTTGGATTCTAGTACTTGCTTTAGAAATGTCAGGCTAAGATAAACAGAAAATGTAATTAAGATGGTTTAATTAAATGTTTTGATCTTACTAAACCTAGACTTCATTTGAAATAAGCAACAGAAAAATATCTTATTAATTGCAGATGTCTTTTCTCTCCTCTTTTAGGATTTTGCCTACCATTTTACAGTGTTTGTCTTCTATTTTGGAGCCTTTTTATTGGAAGCAGCAGCCACATCCCTGCATGATTTGCACTGCAATACAACCATGACCCTGCAGCCGCTCCTGAGTGATAACCAGTATAACATAAACGTAGCAGCCACAGTAAGTACTCAATGAGTACCGTTCACCAGCACTTCTGCTCCACTGTCAAGGCCTCCAAGAAACTCTTCAGGCAACAATAGTTCTCTTTAATACTAGCCGTTAACGTTAAATATATCATAGCTATTATCTGTACAATAACCCTGTGAGCAAAGTGCCATGATCACTTTGCTCACAGGGTTGCGGGTGATTAAACTGAAGCATAAAGAGGTTGATGTTCATATAAGACCACAGCAAGCCACCATCTCTCATTAAGAATTGGCCAGGCCTGGTGTGCTGTGCCTGTAATGCCACCTGTTTGGGAGGCTAAGGTGAGAAAATCTCCTGAGCCCAAGGAGGTGGAGGTTGCAGTGAGCCGAGACCGCACCACTGCACTCCAGTTTGAGTGACAGACCAAGACTCGGTCGAGGGGTCGGCGGGGAATGGGGAGTAACCAGTATGACTAAGGAACTGTATTTTTAATATGATTTTAATAGTTTTAACCACATGTGACTAGTGGCTATCATATTAGACAATACAGGTCTGGAGTCTGAGTTTTGAGGGTTCTGCAAAAAGAACTGTGTTTTTTGCTTCTTATAACTTTCAGACATGGTAAGGGAGATTTCCCAGTTTGGTTCTTTAGTATTCAATAGCTGTTTGCACTTTGTTTTTATTCAATGAATAGATACTGTGGGCCTACCATATATCAAGTAATTTTGCTGGCTGTTGAGGATGGGGTGAATAAGTTGCAGTTCCTGCCATTCAGGACAGTGCAGGTGAGGGAGGGAGGCAAATATACCAGCCACTGCAGTAGATGATAGGCAGATGAAATGCATTCCTTGGGGCATTTATAAATTTTTAAATCATCTTTAATTCACCTACTGGAGTGAATCTGTCATTTTGTATTGTATAGATAATTTGAAGAACTAATGTATTACTTTTGTTGTTAAAAATCACTTTTAAGATGCCAGAAAACCAAATTTTCTGAAATAGTGTGATATTTAATATAAATATATGGCAAATTAGTGACCCTAATGTTTTATTATGTTTCCCAGGTAGCCTGTAAATAACCCGCTACTACCCATATAGGCCTTGAAATCTGTCTGGTGCAGCACTGTCTGGCAGAACTTTCTTTTTAGTAAATGCTGTCTGGTATGTTGGCCACTAGCCTCATGTGGCTGTTGAGCAATTGAAAAGTAAGCCAAAGAGCCATGGCTCATGCCTGTGATCCCAGCACTTTGGTAGACCGAGGTGGGAGGACTGCTTGAGGCCAGGATTTCTAGAGCAGCCTTGTCAACATAGCAAGACTCTGTCTCTCAAAGTGGTGGGGGTGGAGAATAAAGAATTGGCCAGGCCTGGTAGCTTGTGCCTGTAGTGCCACCTCTTTGGGAGGCTGAGGTGAGAAAAATCTCTTTAGCCCAGGAGGCGGAGGTTGTAGTGAGCCGGGGCCACACCACTGCACACCAGTATGATGAAGGAATTGAATTTTTAGTATTATTTTAACCACATGTGGCTAGTGGCTGTCACATTAGACAATACAGGTCTAGAGTCTGACTTCTGAGGGGGAAGAAGACAAATGATTTCAAGACCCATTATAAGTTTCCCAAGTCTCTGATAGGATTTGTCAAAATTTATTGAGTGCCTGCAATGAATTAGGCTGAAGGTGGGATTACAACAGAGTCATGGTTTTAGCTTTGAAATGTCCCATCCATGGGACATTAGATTGGGAGGAAAATTCCTTTTCCCTAATACATGTATCAAAAGCTATTGCTCTCATTTAGAAAACAATGTCTAGATTAGAAATTGTCAGAGAATCAATCGCAGAAGAAGGGTGGAAACAATAGCAGAAAAGCAGTTAAACTTTGAAAATGGTCTATAGGTGAATCTGGTATTGCTTCCCAGAGCTATAGTTTCCTGCTTAAGAACCCCTGAGCTAAACCATAATATTTATCATGTTGAACTGCTTTTGCTTTGTCTTTTAGTCTTCTATGGATCATAAACCCCAAAAGGGTGAGGACGTTATCTACCGTTTGCTTATATGTACCAAATGTAGTGATATACACACAGCTGGTGCTGAAGAAATTCTAAGGACAGTAATTCACAGTAGAGTGTAGATTTGTGCATAGGACTGTCTCCCATACAAGAGAAAGCCAACCTGATCATTCTTCATTTCCACTTGTCTGTCTCTGTTGACTTTTAAAGTTACTTTCCATTGTCACGGGAATTAATTTGATGCATCCTCGGGCCCTGAGGGTTGCTGGTTTTCTTGGGTGTGAAACCACTACATGTATAGAACTTCATGCTTAATTTTTAAATACAGTGCCTGGGGGTTCACAGATACTTAAGTGAGCCCAGCATGTGAACAAATGTTCAATGTAAAGTTGTCTACATATGAGAAAATTATTAGGGCTAAAATGTTTAAAGGAATTGGGGGATAATTGTATGAGGGAATAAAACAGTTGTACAAATCATCAAAAAAATATAAAATATTTTCTAAGTGTCTTTAGGTAGATTGGTCAATCTTCATATGGTTGCTCTTTAGGACACTGCTTTTAAGTCAGTGTTGTGAATCTAATGTGAATTTTTGTTTCTTTTTTCTTAGATTTTTGCCTTTATGACGACAGCTTGTTATGGTTGCAGTTTGGGTCTGGCTTTACGAAGATGGCGACCGTAACACTCCTTAGAAACTGGCAGTCGTGTGTTAGTTTCATTTGTCTACTTTATATGTCTGATCAATTTGGATAACATTTTGTCCAGATATAAAAACATTCCAAAAGTAGTTTGTTTAGTAGGGAGAGACTCTAAGCTCAAGTTTTGGTTTATTTCAGGGGTGGAATGTTAATTTTCTTATGATATTTAAAAAAAATGGCCTTTTATATTTCTCCCCTTCTTCCCTTCCTTTTTGCCTTTCTGAAAGTTTCCTTTTATGTCCATAAAATACAAACTTATGGTTCATAAAATTACTATACCTTTTGTTTGGTTGCTGAGTCACCTGACCCTTAATTTTAATATTTCAAATAGGCTTCCTACTGACCTCTACATTTTAGTGTAAAAGAGGAAATGACACACTTTGTTTTAGAACGGACCAGATGGTAAATATTTGTACTTCATGGGCCATACAGTCTCTGTCACAACTATTCAGTTCTGCTATTGCAGCATGAAAGCAACTATAAACAATACAGAAATGAACGAGTGTGGTTACGTCCTTATGAAACTTTATAAAAACAAGGGGAGTCTGGGTTTAGCCTTGTGGGCTATTGTTTATCGACCACTGGTGTAAAACAACTGATCACGAAAACGTATAAACCTAACAACTAGACAAGCCACATAATATTTAGTCTCATTATGCAATAATCACATTGCCTTTGTGTTAATAGTCAAATGCTTACCTTTGTGGGGGGGTGTATAGTTTCTGAAACTGTCTCAGGCAGAGTCCTGGAAATAGGAAAAAGTAATTTATGAAGTAAACTTTAGTTGCTTAATCAAACTAATGATCTAACAACTGAGCAAGATTCTCATCTGAGAGTCCTTAAAATGGGATCCCCAGAGACCATTAATCACTACTGGAACTGGTATCTAGCTACTCATGTCTTAATTTATTTATGCTTCAGAATACAGTTGTTTTCCTCGTGCATGAATAGACCCATATTTGTGTGTGGAATGTGAAGCTTTTCCAAATAGAGCTCTCAGAATAATTTAGTTGTTACTTCTAATTATTTTGCATTACTTTGAGTTAAATTTGAATAGAGTATTACATATAAAGTTGTAGATTCTTAGATGTTTTTGTATTAGCCCAAACATCTATACTGTTTTTGCACTGGTGACAGAAAGACAAAATTAGTTTTATAACAATAGCCAGGAAGAAAAACTATTTCTGGCTGAATAGCATAGAAAAGTATTTTAACCTACCTGTAGAGATCCTGGTCATGGAAAGGTGCCAAAATGCTTTGAATGGAAGAACACGTTAGAGTGAGGCCACAGTTCCCACCACACCAGGGCTTTTGTATTGCTCTATTCTTTCAGCCCTTTACTTTCTGGCTGAAGCATCCCCTTGGAGTGCCACGTATAAGTTAGGCTATTAGAGTTCATGGAACGTAGAACAACTGTGAGTGAGTGGCATGATCAGTACTTAATGATTAAGTGTTATTTATCTAATAATTCTCTAGAAAGAACCCTGTTAGAACTTGGTTTGTGATTTAAAAAATATAAAGACAGGAGACATGAGGGGAAACACAAGGCTGAGAAAATCAGGCCTATGACTTTATACTTACGTCAGATCTTTTAATAGTCTACTTCCTTGGTTTTCCTAGCTACATACCACACACCTAAACCTGTATTATGAATTACATGTCATAAATGTGCCATAAGGATATAGAGTCCATTCTAGTCGGAATCGTTTAGTCTGCTAAACGATTAGCAGATTAGTTGTGAGATTTTATTTTCGTTTCCCAGGTATAGCAAGCTTATGTTTGGTGGCATTAAAGTAATTTCTTTAAAATGCTTTGGTGGCACTTTTGTAAGTAGATTGCTTCTAGATTGTTACAAACCAAGCCTAAGACACATCTGTGAATACTTAGATTTGTAGATTAATCGCATTCTAGATTTGTGAGTTGAATGACAAAGCAGTTGAACAAAAATTATGGAATTTAAGAATTTTACATATCTTACTTGTAAAAATGAGAAAGTGTTGGTTGGTTTTAAAATCTGGTGACTCCATGATGAAAAGAAATTTATTTTATACGTGTTATGACTAATAAAGTATTCATTTGATAATCTTTGTGGTCTATTTATTGTACCATTTACTTTGAAATTCAGTTGAAGGCTTAATATAAACTTGACGGAGCTTCTAGACTTACAATGTATACAAAGTTCTGCTTAAAATATTTCTGTTCAAAAGAGCCTCTCAGGAATTGTCAGTAAGTCTTGTTTCTTTGATGAAGGTGAAAGAGGTAAGTCTTTGAAAGTAATGTTGCAAAGGAAGTTTAAATGAGAATTCTATTTTGCCGAGTGCAGTGACTTACGCCTATAATCCCAATATTTGGGAAGCTGAGGCAGGAGGATCACTTGAGCCTAGAAATTCAAGACCAACTTGGGCAATATACTAAGACTTCATCTCTACAAAAAATAAAAAATTAGCTGAGCACATGGTGGCACGTGCCTCTAGTCCCAGCTACTTGGTAAACTGAGGTGGGAGGATTGCTTGAGCCCAGTTAGAGGCTGCAGCCTGGGTGAGAGTAAGACCCTGTCTCACCAAAAAAAAAAAAAAAAAAAAAAATTGTGCATATATATATATAAAATACACACACATACACTCTTTATATAAATTATATAAATTTATGCTGGGCACGGTGGCTCAAGCCTGTAATCCCAGCACTTTGGGAGGCCGAGGCGGGTGGATCACGAGGTCAAAAGATCGAGACCATCCTGGTCAACACGGTGAAACCCCGTCTCTACTAAAAATACAAAAAATTAGCTGGACATGGTGGTGCGTGCCTGTAATCCCAGCTACTCGGGAGGCTGAGGCA